TAGAAAACATTAACTAGCTGACAACTTTTAGAGAAAATATTGTTTAAATCATCTCCAGTAGTTTTTCACAGCAAAATTATAGACACAGATTTTCCAAAAAAAGAAAAAGCATCTCTGTTCTCCACTTCTCCCCAAAAGGTTAGTTTCCATATTGATAAGACTCAAGAATGTTAGTTTTTAGCTATTTCAAACAATACCTCAGTAAAAATCTTAGTACATGCTTCTTTTTTAATGTAAAATTATTTTTCTAGCATAGAAATTTAGAACTGGAATTGCTGAGTCAAAGTACATGCTCATTTCAACTTTTAGTAGATACTGACGATTCACTCTTCAAAAAGGCTGTACTGATTTAAACACCAATGGAATATGAGGCACTGTACTCTTTTCCACCACATTCTTTCCAACTTGAGAGGCAAAGAATGAGAGCACGTGCTCTTAACATCAAGGTTGCTGGTTTGACTCCCGCATGGGTTGGTGGGCTATGCCCACCCACAACTAAGATTGTTGACAGGCGGCCGGATGGCAACTGGACTTGGAGCTGACCTAGCTGCGTCCTCCACAACTAAGGCTGAAGGACAACAACTTGGCTGTTCCCCTTCCCCAATTCCCCAATAAAATCTTAAAAAATATATATCTGGGCGATTTTTTGGGATATTCTTTCAGAGCTTCTGGGTGATTCTACTATACAGTCATTCTAAATTACCAGCAAAAATCTAAGGAGCTAGAATCCCTACAGCTGCATGTCATCTGCACATTATAAAAGTCAAAACTATTTGCTAAAAGCAATTTATAACAAACTATGTAAAGCTATTTAAAAAAGTTACATAGCAAATTTAGAAATATATTCTTCCAGTCCTATTTCAACTAATGACATGTTTTAAAGATTGTTTATCTAGCCTCCCATAGCCCTTTCCAGAATTAGTCACTTCTAACAATACAAGTTAATTAATTTACCCATTTTTTTTGGAGACAATATTTATAATTCACATTACAGAAATGGGATTCAATTCCTTGATGTAAAAAAAAATCACAAGTCAGTAAGAAAGATCAACAAAGGAAGTTTAATAATAACTAAAAGGAACATGGGAAATAATATAATTAACAAAGCACATGAAGTGGGGAAAATAGATAGTCTCAGTGAACTATATTTCTCATTATTCATAGAATGGGGTCAATGACACTGAATAAAATACAGTCATGCATCGCATAATGTCATTAATTTACCAATTACTGCTGGAGCAGTAATTTGTTAGATAACTGAAATCTAATATCAATTTACTATATACGAATGTGAAAATATTTGATTTTCTAAAAATTTCTACCTTACTCTAAAAATAATCATATTCCTTTACACTTGGTTTTATGTATAAAAAATGAGCCTGTTTTTATTTTTTATTTTATTTTATTTTTTAGCTGAGCCATCCTACCACCTGTTGACAGCTCAGTGGCAGCTCAGCTCAGAGGCAGCTCACTGGCCCATGTGGGAATTGAACCGGCAATTCTGTTGCTCAGATTTCGTGCTCTTAACCAACTGAGCCACTCGGCTGGCCCCTGGTTCTGCTTTTTAATCCAATCTGGTGATCTTTACCTTTTAATTGGGATGTTTAGACTATTTACATTTAACATGATTACTGTGATCGATTAATATGGTTACTATCTATCTTGCTGCTTGTTTTCTATTTGTCCCATCTGTACTTTATTCCCATTTCCTTATTTTTCTGCTTACTTTTGGACTAGCCACTTTTTAGGATCCTAGTTTACATTCTCTGGTGGCTTATTAACTATAACCCTTTGTTGTGTTTATGGTGGTTGCTTTAGAGTTTATAGTATACATCTTTATCAGCCTACCTCAAGTAATATTATACCACTTACTATATACTCGAAGAACCCAGCAAAAGCATACTATTATACATATAGTCTGTGCTATTTTTGTCACATGTTTTACTTCTATGTGTCAGAAACTTCATAATACAGGTTATTTTTGTTTTATACAGTCAATTGTTTTTCAAAAAGATTTAGATAATAAGAAAAAAGTATTTTGTATTTAACCATATGGTTTACTATTTCTGGTGCCCCTCATTCCTTTGTGTTGATCTATATCTGCATCTATGACCTGTATAATTTTCCTTCTGCCTGATGGATTTCCTTTAAGTTTCCTGTAGTATAGGTCTGATGTTGTTAAATTCTATCAGTTTTTGTATATGTAAACAAGTCTTCTTTTCACTTTCATTATTGAAAGGTAGTTTTGCTGGGTACAGACTTCTAGATTGACAGGTTTTTGTTTATTTTTCCTTTCAAGATTTTAAAGATGTTTCTCTACTATCATCTTGCTTGCATCGTTTCCCATGAGATATCTGATGTCAATGTTATCTTTGTTTCTCTTGGTGTAGTTTTTTTCACGATTCTTTTGCTTGGGGTTCACTGAGCCATTTCTATCTGTGGATTTATAGTTTTTAACACATTTTGAAACTTTTTGGCCATAACTTTTTCAAACATTTATCTGTTCCTCCTCTCTTTGGGGACTCCACTTGCATGAATATTAGTCCAAGCGAAGTTGTCTCATTTCTCACAGCTTTGTTCGTTTTTTCAGTCTCTTTTCTCTTTGTGTTTCACTTTGAATAGTTTCTATGTCTTCATGTTCATTCATCTTTTCTTCTGCAGTTATCTAATCTCTTCTACTTGGGTCTTTAAAAAAAAACCCCACATTTTCCATATCTCTATTTAATTTGCTTAATCTCTTCTAATTTTTTTAAACATATGAAATAGTTGTAATAAGTGTTTTACTGTCCTGTCTACAAATATCATTNTGTAGTGTATCTTTTGCTGAGTTGTCCTCCTATGCTAACGTGCTAAGATATTACCAGTACAGAAGTTATAAGCTTTGTAAAGGCTCTATTACCAAGTTTTCCAGAAAGATGTCACCAACATGTCCTCCAATAGAATGTCACTAATCTTTACTGGTATCATTATATTTAAAAGAGAGAAATGATTACATTATTAGGTGAAATGGCCCAACATAGCTAAACCTATTTACCTTTCTTGAATATCTTTCAAAGTCAGGTTGAATATCTTTCAAGTGGTTACTGGATATTTGTGTTTTTTTCTGAGTTGTTTGATAATCATATTATTTGCCCATTCTCATTCTTTTCTTATTGATCTGTAAGATTTATTTAGAGGTTCCCCCTCTCCCCTTTTGTAGTGTAATCAAGGCTTAATTTATCTGGCTAAATTCTTTAAACACTCTAGGTAAAATGGAGGTTTTAATACCTAGTGGAGGTTTCAATAGCTGTGTAGTTTTACTAAGCCTCTTTCATAGTCATAAAAAGAGCAACTCACTTCACATTAAAATGTGACAATACTAAATTCAAAAATACAAACGGAAGCTCGGAATCAATCATTTATCACAAAACGAACAATTTCAATGTTTAAACATACAATTACTTTCCTTCATACTTAACTCAAAATGAGTAAACAGAATTTTATTCAAACTTTACAAATATCCTTTAGTTAGCCTGAGATTAAACATGAGAAAGTTCAAGCTGAAGTTAGACTTCATTGTCCTAACAGTTAAGCATCTGAAAATAAAGCTGAGGATGAATATGCACTTACCAAATATCATGAAAGCATTCCAATGAAGTTTGACAATGAATAGTGACCCAAACCGAACTTTAATCTGCTCTGGTCTACATGATTCAGAGCCTAAAAGTTCCTATTATTTAATGATTAAAAAAAAAAGCCTGCAATGACAGATTTATAAAGGTGTGTCTAGATGCAGAATTTGAGTTTAACATTTCTACGGCTGCTGCTTTAGACTATTATTAAAAAAACACAACTTCCCCAATCTTTATTCAACATGTACTTGAAAACATGTAGCAGCATAGTATAGTTTATTAAGTTTATAAATATCAGTACCTGTAATAAAATATAAAATGCAGATTCTCCCTTTTTCAAATATTAAGTCTCTGAATGCTTCATTCATCCTTTGGTTTCAACCCATACAGTGCACTCATGTTACATTGTAGATTCAGCATTGAGACGAACACTGTACATCTGTTAGGGGAGGAGGGCGCTACATTGTAGAAAGTAAACGCTGAAGCAAAAATACTTTCTGAATATATACTGTACATCATGTAAACAAACATTCATAAGAATCAACACAGGCCAAAATATTGTTTTTTAGGAAATCAGAATCTTCTTTCATTTAAGTTCCATACACTGAAGATGCTTTTTGTTAAGAAAAAGAATGGAGCCTGTTCCTATATTTGCGTATGTGCTTAAATACCTTGGAAACAAGTAATCATTACATTCATTTGCTAACAGTTTGTCCTCTTAGTTGGCTGGCTGTTGCAAACAAGGAAAACAGAACTGTTTCAGTCCCTGTTTTTCATTTAATACTAGCTAAGTAATATATAATTAATTCATCTTTATCAGTCCATATTAGTCATATAAATAGACTAACTGAAGCAGTGAATTTCAAAATTTGTGCAGGGGAAACTAGTTGATCATCATTTGTTTCCAGTAAGGCTAGTACCAAAATAATTACTGCAAAGTCAGTCCAAGCTAGTAGTAAACCCCTGATTTAGCAAGCTGAATCAAAATTTGCAGTTAAGTGATTTTAATTCCTATATTACTGTGCAAATCCAGAATTCCTATGTGATAGACAGTGCTGGCAGCATCAAAGCCCTGTAATAACAGAATGAAATACCGATGTAATTTTGAAATGCGGAGATACTATATGAAGAAATTTGAATGTCCTAAAATGATATCCCAGCAATGGCTTCAGGATTCCCTTAATGAATCAGAAACTAAGAAAGACAATTCATTAGTCAATAATGTTGAGTCAAAAGCCTAAATTTGAAGCAAGAAATGATAAAGACATAAAACCAAAGATGCACTTTCTACTATGACCATATGCAACAATTTCAAGCTTTGTGTCAACATTCTGTACCAGCAGCCGCCCCCTCTGAGGAAAAAGCTTGTCATGACTGTCCACCCCTTTTCAAAGCTTCTAGTCTTTGAAGAAGTGCGTTTCCGAAGGCATCCCGGTAGGCGGGGCTGACCGTATCCAACAGGGAGTAGACTGTTTCGTGGTAAGGAGTCTGTAAATGGTCATCCACCTGGTCAAAAGCATAACCTACCACCTGCAAGAGAAATTCCACAGTGAATTCAAGAATTAGATTTCATCCTGGTATAGCAAGCAGAAACCAACTGTTTACATNAATCTCCAGCCACCATTTGAGTCTTCACATTATGTAGAGTGGCTGCAGCTGCTGCCTTTTATGACTCCAAAGCCATGCAATGCTGGAGGCCTAACATCATATTCCTGTTACATCAGGTGCAAATTTTTAAAAAAGGCCAATGACATCCCATCAGCTTTTCTTCTATTTCACATGTTAACAGCGATTTCTCTGAAGGATGACCCATTCGGTATCTTTTTATAGAATTCTTAAAAAGTTGACAATGTTTAGTTGGTGATTGTCTCCATCTTCCTCAATTAATGCTAGTTGTTAACATTTTGTGATAGTACTTTGATAAAAAACAAAAATAGCACTGTGATTCAGGATGAGTCCGTACTCTATTTGAGCGAAAGGTATAAAAATAACAGGTCCTACACCTTAACATTTATGCTGAATTTCTCCTAGAAAGTATAATGTACAAGGCAACACACTTAAATTTAAAGGGAGTATGTCTGGGGCCTGCCAAGTGGCTCAGTTGGTTAAGAGTTGGCTTAAGAGCACGAGCTCTGAGCAACAGGGCCGCCAGTTCGATTCCCACATGGGCCAGTGACGCTGCGGCTGAGCTGTTGCTGAGCTGCCAACAGGTGGCAGGATGGCTCTGCTGGTGTAACAACGAGATTGCCGGTTCGATGGTGGGCTATGCCCACCTGCAACTAAAACTGAACTCGGCAGCTTGAGCTGAGCTGCCACCTGGATGGCTCAGTGGATAGAGCGTGTGCTCCTAACAACAAGGCTGCTGGTTCGACTCCCGCATGGGATGGTGGCTATGCCCACCCGCAACTAAGACTGAACACAGCCCCTTGAGCTTAGAGGCCACGGGCTGCTGACGAGAAGCCAGATGGCGACTGGTGCCCTCAACAACGAAGATTGAAGAACAACTTGGCTGCTTCCCAATTCGCTCCCCCAATTCCCCAATAAAATCTTATAAAAAAAAAGAAAATTCACAGAGCCAAAAACTGCTTTAAAAAAATAAATAAAATAAATAAAGGGAGTATGTCTGTTATAAAACCTTCCAATTTTTATAATATTTTAAATTTCAGGCATTCTATGGACAGCCTGAATGTACTCGTAATTTTATATTCCAAAACAAAACATATGGACCTGAAGTCAGTTGCACCCATTCCTCAAAAGTCCCGTTCAAACCTCCCATGCTTCGTCTAATTCTCTGCCAGATGAGATCTCACCTTCAAAACCACTTTGTTTATATTATTGCTATGGCAAGTGTTATAATTATTATTCACGAACATGTCTTACTATCTTCAAAATACTGGGGGTGCCAAAAAAATTGTATATATGTGACCTGTATTCATCTTTTGTTATCGGTATATATTGAGTATTACAATTCTAATAGTTTTTTTTTTCCTTTCTTAAAACGTATAAACAGTTTTTTGGCACCCTCTGTATGTCCAGAATCCAACTGCTTCTTACCATCTTCACTGCTACCACTCTGATCCAAGCCACTGTCATCTTTTGCCTGGATTATTGCAATATCCTTCTGACCGGTTTTGTTTTCTCCTTTGGTCCTCCCACACAAGTCTATTTCAACACAGCAGTTAGCATGATCCTGTACAAACAGGCCCGATTATGTCACCTCTCCTCAAACTCCTTCACCCAAAGTAAAAGCCAAAGCTGTTATCATGGCCTACAGTGCCCTCCATGGCCTGACCCTCACGTCGCCCCGCCCCCTCTATTCCCTTCACTCCTTTCTGATGGTCCTCGAACACACCAAGCACGCTTTTGCCATGGGGCCTCGCACTTGCTGTTCCTCCTGCCTGGAAAACAACTCTTCCAGGTATTCACGTGCCTTGCTCCCCAGCTTTTTCCAAGTCGCTGCTAAAATGTCCCCTTATTAAATAAGGGGGACCCTCGCTTACCCCTCTATATAAAAGTGACAAAGCTCTTCCCTCCCCATGGCTTTCTTTATTTATTTTCCTACGGCCCCACATCACCACATGGCACATGATTTATTTGATTCCTGTTTCCCTCGCCTTCAAGGAAAAGTAAACTCTGGGAGGGCAGGGCCTTCATCAGCTCAGCTGCATCCCGGCACCGACCACAGTCCCTGGCCCATGCAGGCAAGCAGGACAGACTTACTGACGGAAGGAACAGACCTTCCACTGGAACATAAGCTCCTTGAAGGTTCTGCCCGAGTCTTCTTCACCCGTCACGTCAGCCTTTACCGGCCGCAGACACTCGCTTGACGGACCCTTAACAAATCCTGCTGCACGAACGAAGAGCAAGGGAAACGACGTTACTGAGAATGCCCGGGGCACGGCGGCACGGCAGCGGGTGCCAGCCACCCAAGCGGCCACACGCGGGCGCGGGCTCTCCACCCAAAAGGTGGCGCCGAAAGGGGAACCAGAGCCNGCCCCAACACTTTCACACTTTTAATCCTTAAAAATTCAGCTCATATACATCTATTTCAGGACTCTGTACCTGTTCTCAAGATAAAGTTAATCACTATCTTCCTTAGTAGAATCTCTGGATTGGTTTTGCTGTACTTATCATACTTCATTGCAAATGGGGGCCTGTAAATGTCTATTACACCAGGGCAGTGTCTGGCACAAAGCAGGTCTTCACTGGATATTTTCTGAATAAACCAAAGAAAAAATTTTAACTCTCTGCTTCTCAAGATGTGGTACTCAGCCCAGTGACAAGGGGCATACAAAGTCACAAGATAAACATGGTAGACAGTCCTAGAAAATACATATCACTGTTATAGTAACAATATTATGGAGTATGATACAAAATTGCCTAGAATTTTATAGCAAATGGAAGTCTTAAGCCACGTCCTCTTTAGGTTATGCCTCCATACCATTACGGTTTCCTTTGCCTCTGATAGGAATATCTGAGTAAGGAATATTTAAGGGGAAAGTAAGTAAGAGGAATAGTGTCCTAATCCAAGGAATTAACTCAAAAGTGCTGAAAATTCTGGGCATTGGGTCTGGGGGTATAACATTAGCAGGCATAGGTAGGAGCTGGTAGAGGGGTATGTGATTAGTGTTGAGTTAGACTTTTTCTAAGTCTTTACAGCTCTACCCACTTCAGTTATGATACTGTTCCTTGTTAAAAGTTAAGGTAATTATTGACAGCTCTTACTCCATCTGTTGGTATGATTTCTAATCTGTGTTAGTGTTTTTGGAGAATTCATGAAACTGGTTATCAAGATAGTGAATTCCACTTCCTTTATTTTCTACTTCTTAATTTTTTATGATCTAATTTTTCTATGGCAAAAAATGTATTATGCTTGCAATAAGACAAAAAAACTTTAAAAATGTGATATATTAGAAAGTAGGTGTAGAAAGCAGAAAATTTTTCTTCTTAGGGAAGCCAGGCTATTAAGATACTTAAAGTAATTGGTAGCTTCAGTTTTAAATAAAATGAGAGGTTTGAATTTATCTGCTTTTCAAACAAACGTTTTGAAATTAAAGATGAAGAAAGTTGATTAATTATAAATAGCAACATTTAGAATTTAGGCAAAACTAAAGCTAGTTTCACCTTTATTTTCTGTAACACATAAAATTTAATCTGTTTTCAACAGCTCTGAGACTTATGTTTATTTTGAAAAAAAATTTAAATCAGAAACATTTGTAGTATTACAAATATAAAGTACTTGTCATTCAAATAAAAAAGACCTATTTTTCCATTTGTATACTGATTTATAAAATTACTCTGTACTTCACTTTCAACAATGACAGAGATACATACACACAAACTAGTAATAACAAATCAAGCCAACAGAACTGTATTATACTTTTGTGGATTAAGGGGGGAGATGAGGGTAACAGTTAATTTGGGAAGCCTTTTAAACTGCAAATAAGCAGCAACAGTATAATCCTGTAAACAACTTTTCACTCAAAACCAGAAACTGTAAATGATAGTCTAAGAAAAGACAGTCAAAAATTGAATGCTTAAAAAAAAAAAAATCCAGGAATTAGTTTTTGTTTCTATAAAATACTCTAGAGAGTTTGGTACTATATTTAAAGTACATTCTAACCAACATAAATTAATATCTAAAGAAATATAAACTAGAAAAACCTCTCTGCCCTCTATTTAAACTCTAAATTGGCTTTCTAACAGGTTCTGAGCAATATTCTGTTGTCAGCATCTTCAAAAATTGGAATACCTTACAGTTGCTATTAGTTATTCTGCTAAATCACCTCGTATAAAGTTTCCAAAATGATTCCTTATAACATCATGCATAAAAAATTTAGGAACCAGCCTGACGAAAGAACGGAACCAGAAAGATTACAAGAGCAGTATATAGATTTCAAATTTTCACTTTGAAAGAAAGTTTGACTTTTCAGTTGAATTACAATAGTCGGCTGAGGGCTAGAAGGTGATATCTTAATCATGGTTACTTTTATTGTATCATACATCAAGCCTGTAAATCCTCTCAACATGAATAAGAAGTGGTCAGTATGTGGTTATTAAGAGGCTCTTTTTTTTTAGATTTTTTATTGGGGAATTGGGGTATGGGAACAGTGCTGG